AGCCATATTCAGTGTTATAATTTTTAGAAGTATGGTCAATATTTTAGTGATTGTCCAGAAAAGAAGAAGAATCAAGAAACTGATGCAAAGCTGGAAAAACATGAAGAAGAAGAACAAATGTTGTTGATGGTCATAACAAGAGATGAAGAAAGATTCCATGACCAATGGTACTTCTACTCAGGCTGCTCATCACACAAGACTGGTAGGAAAGACTAGTCTGTCAACATAAATCCCTCGACGAAGAACATGGTGGAATTTGCAAATGACAATACTCTAGAGCTGAAGGTATTGGTGATGTTCTGGTTATGAAGAAAGATGGCAAGAGGTCAGTAATTTTCAATGTATTGTACATACTAGGCATGAAGAGTAATTTGCTCAGTATAAGGTGGTTGGTCGAAAAGAACTACAAGGTGTCGATCAAAGACAAGATGATGGGAGTTCTCGACTCAGGTGGTAGATTAATCATAAAGGCTCAAATGTCTCAGAATAGAACCTTCAAGGTTGAACTTAATGTGATGGAGCATAAGTGCCTTGCAACTGCAGCCACCAGAGATGAATGGATATGGCATTATCGACTTGGCCATCTCAATTTCAAAGACATCAGATGTTTGAAGAGAAGAAATATGGTTTCAAGATTACCATAAATCGACATTCCAAGCGAAATGTGTGAAGAATGTGTTTAGACGAAACAATAGAAGAATAACTTCAGCAAGGATACAGGAAGCAGATCAAAGGCAATTCTTGAAGTCATATACTTTGATGTATGTGGTCCTATTTAGGTGGATTTGGTTGGAGGTAACAGATAATTTGTCACGTTCATAAATGATTTCAGTCGAAAACTTTGTACTTACTTGATCAAGAAGAAAAGTGAAGTGGTCGAGGTATTTATAAAATTTAAATCTATGTTCAAAAGACAAAGTGGTCGAAAGCTAGAGATTATGAGGACTAAAGGGATTGTGCATGAGGTGGTGCCACCCTACACTCCACGTCAGAATGGAACTGCAGAAAGGAAGAATAAAACCATCATGAATATGGTGAGAAACATGTTGAAAGGCGAACATCTACCCAAAGAATTATGGGGAGAAGCTGTGTCGACAACAATATACATCTTAAATATATGTCTGATGAAGAAGCTAGAAGGAATCATGCCAGAAGAATATTGGTATGGTGTCAAGCCTAGCCTAAGTCATTTGAAGGTATTTGGATCTATAGCACATAAGTCGAGTCAAATGAACCTAATAGGATACACTGGAGGATACAAGTTGTTTGACCCAGTAAACAAGAAAGTAGTGATCAGCAGGGATGTGATCATAGATGAGCTTAAGGAATGGGATTGGACTGAGAATAATAAGAAGGATTCAGTGAGAATCTTATGTGAAGAACTAGCGAGTGAAGTCAAAAGAGAAGTTCGACAAGAAGAAGGCTGAGGTGAAGCAGGCCCAAGAAGACCTCAACAAACAAGACACATGCATGCAAGGTTGCAAGAATGTGTGATTACATCAGATGATGTGGTCAATGAAGAAGGTGAGCTGGTACGCTATGCTTTCTACACAAATGTCGAACCAGCCAATGCAGGTAAGGCATTGAAAGATTCAAAGTAGGTGAAAGCAATGAATGAGGAGTTAGAGTCCATCGAAGTCAACAACACTTGGTCATTTGTCGAATTGCCTCAAGGAAATAAGGAAATTGATGTGAAATATGTTTATAAGGTGAAGGTGAATCCCAAAGGAGAAGTAACTCGACACGAGGAGAGACTTGTGGCGAAATGATTTCTTCAGAAAGAAGGAATCGACTTCGATGAAGTTTTTGCACCTGTTGCTAGGATTGAAACAACCAGGTTGGTTGTTGGTCTAACAAACATGAAAAATTGGCACACATGTCAAATGGATGTAAAATGTGAATTCCTGAATGGCCCATTAGACGAAGAAGTTTATGTTGCACAACCAGTTGGGTTTATGAAACAAGCAGAAGAAAGAAAGGTGCACATGCTGCATAAAGCCCTGTATGGATTTAAGCAAGCTCCAAGAGCTTGGAATAAGAATATTGATAGCTTTCTAAGGGAGAAGGAATTTGTAAAGTGCACGACTGAGCATGGAATATATGTAAGAAGAAGTAATAGTGAATTGCTTATACTATGTCTCTATGTCGATGACTTGTTGATAATAGAAAGTTGCAAGAAGGAGGTCGAAGATTTCAAGCATGACTTAAGTGAGGAGTTTGAAATGTCAGACTTGGAAAATCTCTCATATTTCCTTGGCATCGAATTCTACAAAAGTGGTAGAGGTTTGATGATGCACCAAAGAAGATATGTAAGCGAAATACTTAAGAGATTTGAGATGGAATATTACAACTCAACTTCGACTCCAGTTGAGCCTAGAATGCTACTGTCGAAAGATTCAGATAAAGATGATGTCAACCTAACCCAATATAGAAGACTTATTGAGTCATTTCGATACCTTTTTCACACAAGGTTTGACTTAGCATACAATGTGGGTATGATAAGTAGATTCATGTAGAAGCCAAAGGTAACACACCTAGCAGCGATGAAGAGGATACTAAGGTATCTGAAAGGAACTCTCGACTACGACATTTTGTTTCATGCAACTGATGAAGGTAAATAATGCAATTTAGTGGGATACACCGACTCAAGTTGGTGTAGTGATGTTGAGGAAAGAAACTACACCGTTGGTTATATGTTTATGCTAGGTGGTGCACCAGTTGCTTGGAGTCTGAGAAAAGGAGTCAGTAGTGGCATTGTCGTCATGTGAAGCAGAATACATAGTTGTTTATCTTTGTGCATGTCAAGCAACGTGGATGGTGAACCTGATAGAAGAGATTACAACGAAGAGTCATGGAGCAATTACCATGAAGATCGACACCATGTCAGTTATCAACCTGGCGAAGAATCCAATAGCACATGGACGAAGCAAGCACATAAAAATCAGGTTCCATTATCTTCGAGAGCAGGTAGCAGAAGGGAAATTGAATTTGAAAATTTGCAGAACTGAGAATCAGATTTCAGACATCATGACGAAAGGAGTGCAAGTCGAAGTGTTCAAGAAGTTAAGGTTTATGAAGAATGTAGACAACTTAGATACAATGAGTTAGGTGGTGTGTTGAGATTGTAATTCCTTGTGTCGAAGCAGTGTAGCTCGACATAAATAAGGATTAGTCGAATTAGCATAATGTGTGTGTATCAAGTTTTTTAGATGTCGAAGTGTCAAAGCAGGTTGTTTGACACAGAATTTCAACTTAGACCAAAAATAGTAATTTTTGGACTTTTGTAATTTTGAGATTTCTTCTATTATAAATAGAGGAAGTAACCCCTATTTTGTAATAATTAGTATTCACAAAAAATTTGCAGTTGCAAAGTGAATAAAAGAAGTTTTCTATAATTTGTGGGCGAAGATTCTGCAGTTGAAAATCATTCTCTTCTTTCTTTGATTTTGTTAAACTATTTCTTTCTCGTTTTTCATTAGTAATTGCTGCGCATAATCTCTCTTAAGATCAAAATTAATTAGAAATTTTCAAAAGATTTTGAGTTAATTCCATTAGACCTCAAGTTTGCGCCTCTACAACTACAAAATATTGAATGTTTTAGGTGGGAAAAACCCACACAATTTTATCTTTTAAAATTTAGTGAATTGAATTTCATAGATTTCCAAATTTGAAAGGACTTCAACATTTAACAAATATTTATAAAGTATTTATTTATTATTTATTAAAAAAATTCTCACATTAGCTATATAAGTTCAACCGAAAACTTTTAGGTGACTGTAGGGCTGGAAATGAGTCGAGTCGAGTCGAACTCACCTCAGCTCAGCTCGACTCGTTAAAAATTGTTCGAGTCCGAGTTCGAGTTCGAGTTCGACACGAACTTTTTTTTAAGCTCAAACTCGACTCGTTATAAGTTCACGAACAGTTCGGTTCAACTCGTTAGGTTCATCTCATTAGGTTCAGCTCACATGATTCACGGACTTAAAAACTATTTTTTTAAATATATAAATTTTTTAGTATATTTGACATTTTAAATAAATATATTTTTTAAAAATAAATAAAAGTTATCATATTGAAATTTAACTTTATCTTCGAAATCTACTAATTCAAAACCTACACAACTTTCAAGAGATACATTTGAGAGTCTAATTCAAAAACTACTAAAGTGAAGATTAAATTTGTCTAAGATTTGGAGTAAATATTTAAACCTAATCTTAAAGACAGTATAATTCTTCTCATATGTAATCGAGTTGACTCATGAACCTAACGAGTCGAACTATGTGTAGTTCAAGTTCAGGTCATTTAGTTAACGAACTTAATTTTTCGCTCATACTCAACTCATTTGGTTCATGAACCTAGTTCAACGATTTAATTGTCGAATCGAATTCTGAACTATTTTCGAGTTGGTTCGGTTCATTGCCAGCCCTAGGTGACTGTTATATATTTATTTAAACTATCACATAATAGTTTATTTATCCCACCCACCTCGAGATATAATATATACACTTAAATTTTATTATATTATTATATTTTTCATGACAAGTGTTATTATTTAGTGTTTGTTTATGTGAAGATAAAGATAAAACTTTTCAGTAACTAAATAAAATACAACTTTATATACCATAAAAAAAACCAGCTTTCACTTAAATACATGTCAAAACATAGATGAGAAAAGTTTAATAAAAGCAAGAAATTGACATGGGAATATCCTTACCTTATTTCAAAGGTTACTTTTCCTCAAACCGAAAACGAAATATTACCACATTGAGCCCCACAACAAGAGTATTAGAACCATAATTTCCATTAAATTGCTTTAACACACACAATCACGCACAAAAGAGCTTAATTAATATGTCATTTTTTGTCTCACCAAAGTGTTTCATATTTGTCACGCTTAAGTAAAGTAATATAATGGTCACTTAGCTTTGAAGCCAAGGAGAATTCAATGGTTACTTGCTTGCCATGCAAACTTTTACATCTTCTTGGTAAAGCTCATATTTCTCATGTTCTTGCCTTTTCATTTTTATCATCAACAACAATATTCGGACAGAAGGGGTAGAAGAATGGCATCTCTCATACCTGGAGTTCTACTAAAGCTTCTCCAAACAATGAACTCCAACGTTAAAGTTCGCGGCGAACACCGATCAGTCCTTCTGCAAGTAATCAGCATTGTGCCTGCGTTATCCGGGTCTGAATTATGGCCTAACCAAGGCTTCTTCATAAAAGTCTCCGATTCTTCTCATTCAACCTATGTCTCACTCTCAAAACAAGACAATGAGCTTATTCTGAATAATAAGTTGCAGCTTGGACAATATTTCTACGTCGATCGGATTGAGGCCGGTACACCGGTTCCAGTTCTTGTCGCGGTTAGGCCTATTCCTGGTAGACACCCTTTTGAAGGTAATCCTAAGGATTTAATGCAAATGTTGGAGTCGTCTGAAGGAGGTAAAGCACTTCCTGATAACAATAGAGTTAACAATTCAAAATCCGCGGATATAATAGAAGCCAAAGAGAATACAAATTCAAGACAGAAGATTGTTATTAAAGAAGAAAAAGTCGGCGTTGCATCACGGTACATGAAGGGTGTTCTAAATCCAAATACGAAAACGAATGTGACAGATACTAATGTAGGAAGCAAAGGAAATGATTCGGAGACTGGCGTGGATGGTAAGAAATCGGGATCTATAAAAGGAAAGCAACAAGAGATTCAAGGTCAGGTATGATTCTTGATCTATGGCTGCTATAGCGCGCTATTCACAACCTGGTTTATAACTGATAAAAATATAAACTAGAACTTAAAGGAAAAATCAAGTTTAGCGCTGATGGTTGATTTTAGCATGACAGGTACTCTTAACGACCTCAACTCGTACGCGATTTGAAGTACTTTCAACGAAACAAGACACTGATCAATCAAACATTCATGAAACAATCACGCAGCCTTCTAAAAGCACTTCTATCAAGCGCAGTTCTACTAAACAGGAAAATTTGGACTCGAACTTTTCGTCCAATACTCAAGATAAAACCAATTATGCAGAAGCGATTTCTTGGTCCACTTTGCCTGCCAAACTTTTAAGGCCTGGAAAGGTGAGCTGAACTTCATTCTCTCTCCGTCTTTTTCAGTGATTTCTTCACTCAACTAACTCAAACGAGGTGAATTAGTCTATCGTTCTTGCTTAACCGCGATTTTTTCATTTTATAAGGGTATTCTTAGAAGGAAACAACTAGCTTCTCAAGTTGTAATAGAGGCTCAAAAAGAAGCATCTGAAGCAGCAAAGATAGTCAAGTGCTTAAGGTATGTAAAGTTTCAATCTAAACTTTTAACACTTCAATAAGAATAAGAACGCCTTGTTAGTTAATTCGAGACCGAGACGAATCAATGCTTACCTACTCTTGTGCTTTTCTATCTCCTATTTTTCAGTATGTTTGCAAATATATGCTCTTCTGCCGCATCAGAGGACCCACACGTCACACTGGACAAGTTTTTCGCACTTCAACAGCTCATAGACAAGCCAAACGGTACAACTCAGTCGAAAGCCAAATCGCTTCAATCACATAGCATTCAATCTCCTACAGAAAAGCATAAATATAGCAGAAAATCAGGTTTAGTGCCGGCTAAGAACACGTCGAAGTCTCCAAAACCCGTAACTGAATTATTAGTGACCGAAAAACAAGAATGGGCGAAAGAGAATGGTATGAAACAGATCAATGAGCTCAAAGATGTCTTTTTGAATGAAACAAGATCATGGTTCATTAAGTACTTGGAAAAGACACTGGATGTAGGATTTTCAAGGGTCTTCCAAGAAAAGGGGAAGGAAAGTAAGGTTATTGTAGGAAGAGAAACCGCGCACGCCAACCATATAGCGGTGACATTGTCGCACCTTAAGCATGCAAATGAGTGGCTAGAAAAGCTGAGAAGCAGTTTAAACTCAGAAAATGAAGGCCTGGTGGAGACTATTGACAGATTGAAGCAAAAAATTTATTCTTCCTTACTTGTACATGTTGATTCTGCTGCATTTGCTTTGGAAAACCGAGCTTGATTCTTGGACAAGAAACTGTTTTAAGAAAACATATTGTCATGCTATTTATAGGTTAAATTATTTGTGCAAAATGATCTGCATGCGATGCGATGTTATTTATTTATTTATACATAAAAACAAATAAGGAAATTTTTTCGATTCGATGGATTAGTCTGTGCAGTTGAGTGCAAAAGATATCCAGTTTCTACCGAAAAATAAATAAGGAGAGGGAGGTTTGAAATAAAATTACATTGTTTCTTTAAAAAAATCATGTATAACAGTATGCAAACATGACCTTTCAAATTTAAATGTGTTGAAGCAACGCACCAATAAGACACTTATGATGGTTTCTATTTATCAAATTATTATTGAAGTTCACAAGTCAATGTCGTTGTCGGTCTGTGTGAGTGTTTCATATGATTTTTTTTAATGATATCGGTTTTAGTCCGACCACATCCATCCCGGTCAAATTGAAGTAAGAAGTTTCAAATTCAATTTTACTTCATTCTTTTTTTTCACATACTGACTTGAGTGTTGGAGTTATAACTTTTTGCTGATCCTCCCACTCCTGGAAGCAATAATCTTCCATCACCTTCGTTCCTTTCCTAATTTTTGGTTTCAAAACAGAATGGTACCGCCGTATGTAGAAATCGACTTCTAATTCTTACGATTTCCACAAATTCACATTCTCTCTCTCTCAAACTTCACAGTTTGAAACCTCCTCCAATCACCAGAGCAAAAGCATTCATGGTCGAACGTGAGGATCCCTTGCGTCTTGATCGTGACAAGCATAATCTCGATTGCATTTCTTCAAATTTCTAAATCCTCGGTTCTTATAATTTTCTATAGTGGATCTAAGGCTACAAATCTACCGCTGCACGCGAAGCTGTTGCTGCTCTAACAACAAACAATCCTCCACCTCTTCTTCCTTCGCAAATGATTGTTTTGTTGCTTCTAGATATGGTTCGAACTCTGCAATTAGTCAGATCTATTCAAATTACTCCGATGGAGATTTCCGTTCCACCTCTAGTTACACAATCTGATGTTTTGTCTGACCTCCATGCTCTATAAGTGAATTTTGAAATGCAAGATGCTCGCAAACTATTGAACAACATGTTTAATATCGCCCGGTAACAAAACTCACACGATCTTGAAGTATGGCTTCAACGTCTAGAAAAAAACCTTCACAAACGCTCCATCCCACAAAAATACTATTCAAGAAATTACTTCAAAAAAGACTCGTGTTGACACCCTGGTTTCAAGCTTCGTTTCAATTGTGCCTTTGTCCTTCAATTTAGGGTCTGTTTGGTTCAAATGAGGGGGAGGGGAGGGGAGGGATTTTAATGAAGGGGAGGGGAGGGGAGGGATTTTAATGAAGGGGAGGGGAGGGGAGGGGAGGTGAAGGAATTTTTTAATCAAATAAGTGTTTCGTTCAAAAGAGAGGAGGGGAGGGGAGGGGAGGGATTTTAATTAAAAATGTGTTTGGTTCAGAAGGGGAGGGGAGGGGTTTTATTAATAATTTACAGTTTTATCCTTATGATCTTATATAAGTCATACGATATTAAAATGTGAAAAATTCGTGCGTATTTTTGTTGGTAATAAAATTTCTAATATTGAGTGATTAAAAAAATATTTATTTGTCACATAAAGTTAAAAAATTGAGTATAATTGATTCGACTTATAACTTTCCAACATAAATTAAACTATATGTCAATAACATCGTTTAAATTATGATGAATCATATAACAAAACAAATATATAAAATAACTTATTACTAAATATTAATGGTTCAAAATATTTAATAAAATGAATAAACAAAAATAAATAACATGATATGGTTTACAATTTGATATAAAAGAAAATATGATAGAGTACATAACAAAATTAAAAGAAAAAAACGAATATAACGAAACATAATTTTTTTATAAAAAAAAGACAATGATTATGATTTATATTAATTATAAAAATTATAAAATAATTTGAAGATGGAGAACAATTATAATAATTTGATGAAAACAATCGAGAAAAAACAGTAACACAAAAGATAACAAATAGTTTTGAAATAATAAAATTAAACTGAGGATATTTTAGTAAATATAATAAATTTTAAATATTAAAACTCATATTCCCTCCCCTCCCCTCCAAATCCCCCCAATTCGGAGGGAACCAAAAAATGTGTTTTGGAGGGATTTTGCTCCCCTCCCCTCCCCTCCCCTCCTAAAATTTGAACCAAACATATTTAATTAAAAATTTCCCCTCCCCTCCCCTCCCCTTCCCTCCATCTACCTCAAACCAAACACACCCTTACCTTCGTGCTCAATTTTTCCGTCAATACTATAATTTTTTTTTCTTCTAAAACTTCTTCCACCTAGTTCAACTATTTAGAGCCACTTCAAATTCTCGTGTTTCTTTGGTTTCTTTCTTCATGATGAAAAATCTCTTCTCATCTTCCACTTCATCACGAAATAGTCACACTCACTTTTAGTGAACCCATGAAATAATTTAGAAAACATGAGACTCCCACACCAAAAATGATACACACGTAAAGGTTGAAACTACTTACCCCATCCATCCCCGTGTCATTTTCATTTATGACATAGGTTTAAATTTGACAATATGACAATGAAACATCATCATATACTCAATGTCAGGTTACTTAAGATTGATCTCAATTTGATAAGGAGATTAAAACTCTGAAGAAAAATAATTTAAAGAAACTAAAAACCTACATTTTAAAATGAGAGGACGAATACTAAAAATAAAATAAAATAAAAAATCAAAGTTGGAATTAAGCCTAAAATTAAATTGGTTCTTGATGTATCATATGCACTGATCAAACTTTATATAAAAATTGTTAAGAGAAGCATTTCAATAAAATTTGAATGTTTTTTCTTGAGAAGGGGTTAATGGCATGAGTTACAAATCATTAAAATATATATATTTTTCAAAGCTTAAAGAATAACATTGTAAAGAAAACAAAAATAAAACAAATATTAAACATATTATTTAGTCTCAACATACAAAACTTACATTTTTAATCTCTAAAAGATAATCCCCATAAAAAAGATTGTTCTATTTAGTTTCAACAAAATTATTTTAGAGTAAGATTTAAGACTCGTTTGATTGAATTTTGAATTTTAGATTTTGAAAATTAGTCTGTAATAATTTTTTTAAAAAAAATTGAAGAAAAAATAAAATAAAATATGTTTGGTGATATTATTTTAAAAAGCTGTTTTATAGATGAAAAAAATGTTTGATAGATTTATTTTGAAAATATATTTTAATTTTTTTTCAAAAAAAGAAGAATATTTTCATACATATTTATTTTTATAATAATTTTTAATATACTTTACTTTAATCAAGATAAAGCTCAAAAATATATATAATATAATATTTATTATATGATATATTTTTAGAATACTTTTTAATGTTTTTGAATCAATTATATTATATATCGAATGTGATACTAAACAAACTTCATTTCTCTTTTAGTCTATTTTATCTCGTAGAGACTCATACATGAAAAATCTCAGAGTGACGGCAATCTCAGAGATATAGGTTGTCCAATTGTGTTCATGTGATATTTTTAAAGTGACAGGTGAGTGAATTATTTCACTTATAAATTTTTAAATTTTTACATTTTCAATCAATGTAAAACTATTACTCATACTATCCACATTCAATATTTTATAATGTGTCCAAGTTGTTATAGTGGATCTAAGGCTACAAATCTACCGCTGCACGCGAAGTTGCTGCTCTAACAACAAACAATCCTCCACCTCTTCCTCCTTCGCAAAACATCATATATCTTGAAATGATTGTTTTGTTGCTTCTAGATATGGTTCGAACTCTGCAATTAGTCAGATCTATTCAAATTACTCCGATGGAGATTCCCGTCCCGCCTCTAGTTACACAATCTGATGTTTTGTCTGACCTCCATGCTCTATAAGTGAATTTTGAAATGCAAGATGCTCGCAAACTATTGAACAACATGTTTAATATCGCCCGGTAACAAAACTCACACGATCTTGAAGTATGGCTTCAACGTCTAGAAAAAAACCTTCACAAACGCTCCATCCCACAAAAATACTATTCAAGAAATTACTTCAAAAAAGACTCGTGTTGACACCCTGGTTTCAAGCTTCGTTTCAATTGTGCCTTTGTCCTTCAATTTACCTTCATGCTCAATTTTTCCATCAATACTATAATTTTTTTTTCTTCTAAAACTTCTTCCACCTAGTTGAATTATTTAGAGCCACTTCAAATTCTCGTGTTTCTTTGGTTTCTTTCATCATGATGAAAATTTTCTTCTCATTTTCCACTTCATCATAAAATCAATTGAAATAGTCACACTCACTTTTAGTAAATCCATGAGACTCCCACACCAGAAATAATACACACTTCAAGGTTGAAACTACTTACCCCATCCCCATGTCATTTTCATTTATGACATAGGTTTAAATTTGACAATATGAAAATGAAACATCATCATATACTCAATGTCAGGTTACTAAAGATTGATCTCAATTTGATAAGGAGATTAAAACACTGAAGAAATTTTTTTTAAAGAAACTAAAAACCTACATTTTAAAATGAGAGGACGAAAACTAAAAATAAAATAAAATAGAAAATCAAAGTTGAAATTAAGTCTAAAATTAAATTGGTTCTTGATGTATCATATGCACCGATCAAACTTTATATAAAAATTGTTAAGAGAAGCATTACAATAAAATTTGAATGTTGCTTGAGAAGGGGTTAATGGCATGAGTTACAAATCATTAAAATATATATATTTTTCAAAGCTTAAACAATAATATTGTTGTGAATCGGATACCTTTAAACAAAGTATAAACGGTTTCTTAATAATCAAGAAACACACAAGGGTTAGGGTTAACAAAGAAAACAAGGTAAAACAACAAGGAACAACACGGATTGGTTATTAAACTGCTATTCTTTCCTTTCTCTTAGAACAAGATTACAAGTATACAAGAATAACAAAATAACCTCTCTCCCTTGAAATT